TATCCGTTCACAATCCGATTTCCACAGGTACAGGTAAAATTTATCACCTTTCAATGCTATTTGATAGGGAAAGGTGATAAATTTACCTGCACCTGTGGACATCGGATTTTGAACAGGATATATAAGACTAGATTGATCTTCATTATTCATGGGTTTTTCATTTTAATAGAATATAGGGGTTTTTTATTTCAATATTGTTTTGTTTTCAACCAATACAAAATCACAAGACTATGAAGCCCTTAGAGCAGGTAAAGGTAAAGGAGTAGTAACATAGAGTTGGAAAATGAATCCGTTTTTTTCCAGGTATTTTGGCACCAACTGGATTTTGTTATTAATTATTGATTATTCTGTTTGGTTTGGTAAATTGGCAAGAGGTCACTGACCTAATAGTAAACAAAAATCATCATGACAAATAAAAATTCCTTTTATCGTTTTCGTACTTTATACTGTGCCGGATTAGTAGGTACTTTCTTTGTCTAATTCGTATTTAGACAAGAAAACAAAATTGTCGAAACTTCATTAAGTGTCGTTTTATTTTTCATGTCAAAAGTAGGGCTGTACCAAAGTCGATCCACAAAGTGATTTTGATATTTATATGCCTCCTTTTTTGTTCGATGTGTTGAAAAAGAAAAAAAAAAAAGATTCGTTTGGAACATGGAAATTTGGCAAACAGTGATTTTTGATTGGTGCAAAAATATGGCGCAAAATTCGAATAATCTGCTTTTTTTCTTTTAATTTCTGTCTTCAAGATTTAAAAAAAAATTAACCAACCATACTGTTATGTAGTATATAAAATACACTTTCGTTACAGATAAATTATATACGTAATTTCGAATGAGTGCAAGAAGTCTATTGGGATAATACTTACAATAAGAATTGCATTTGGATCTTTCATCTACTATTAGAAGAGGACTTGTATATGTTTTGTTCAAAGAAGATTCTGGCAAGGAAAAACCTAAACTGTTGAGTAATTTGTATCTGGTTCATTTTGATTTGCAGATTAATTTAGTTTGGCTAATTTGGTAAATATCCATTACAATAAATGTCTGCACTATTTTTTTTAATATGTTATATCAAAAATGGAAGAGAATCTCTCATGGTTTTCAACATTAACGCTCTTTCCTCATGAAAGGAATTTTAAAATTATTATCCCTGCATAATTTTTAAATTAAAATACGTGAAAGCGCATATAATCTTACGTATAAAAACCTATAATAATTCTAAATCGATTATAATTATCAAATATTTCGAAAAGCAAAGGCATGAAATTATTGAACCAAAATCTAATCTATACATTATTGGTATTTACTAATAATAAAATATAATTGAGGATGCGCAAAGCGAACCCATATATTATATCACAGATTGGAGATGAGATATTTTAGAAGATGCGGTAACAGTAAAATCGGGACAAGTATATAATCTACAGTAGCGCAATATAACACCAATTTTATGAAGTCGTAAAATTCGTAAAGCTTGTTTCAGTTTACTCATGCCTCTGAACTTCATCAAAGGAGGTATTATTTGTTGTAGTCTCTGAAAAACTTTATTTTTATGACATTCGGAAAAGGAGCTATGCTGATAATTCAAAATATGGGCACATTAATGTGCTAGCTCAACCTTAGAAGTACCTACTACTTATATTTTGAACATGTTGTCACAACTGACATGGGGGTCGATGAGGAGAAACTTGCTCAAGTAGTATAAAAAGTGGATATAGATATACATATATTTGCCCAATATGTCCCTTACATTTTAACCCAATAGGATGCATGACCCTCCTAATGCTAGGGTCCTTATAGGGGGCCACACGTCAACGCTGCTTGGGGGATTGTCGTTTTATTCGCTACACAACTGTAGTTAGTTACCCTTACCTTGTCCTGAGGAGCTTTCCCAACTAGAGGTATAGGCGCTGGACAACGATAAGGCTGAAGATATCCAGAGTGGCGTTCCCAACTGGAGGTACACAAGTCGTTCGAAGGTGTCTGTGGATATTCCTCTTAAAGCTTCGCAAGTTTTAGTGTTCTGGGAAAGACATGCTTTGGAAGCTGGTTCCACAGACTTGCGCAGTTCTAGTTCTACATAAAAAAGAGTCTGGATATAGTGATGTTCTAGGCGTCTGCAGGTGCACTTAATGATCATGAGCCACGTCAGCCTGTCGATTAGTTCTTGCATGTATAGCTCTAGATGGGATCATTTTTGACAGTTCGGAAGAGCATTTACCGTGGTAGTATCAGGAAAACAGAGTCAGTTCTGCCACCTTCCTTTTGTGTACCAAACTTCCTGTCAACTGCAGATCTATCAGAGTGCTCTGGATCAAATCAAGCAGTCTCAAGGTGTGCTTGGGGGCAGAACTCCACATGTGAGGCAATACTCCACAAAAGGATGAATCTGGGTGTATAGTAGTCCTAATATTGAACATTTGACTTTCACACTCAGATCATTCAGGTACATAGTAAATGCACAAATCATTCATCAGATTGAAATTCTACTGGACATTTTCCATGCACATCTTGACAATATAAATAATTCTGTTTGGTAATTATTAATGTGTTGCAATTCAATATAATATGTTAATTTTGGTCATAAGTTCATTCACAAGCCTTCTACCAACAGAAAAACAACGATGCACAAACATAGGGTACACTTAAAATTCATCTCACGTGCACGATTTTCTATTTGCCCAAAAAAAATCATAATTTCTAATTTTAATCAAAGGCATGCGACAATGGCAAAATAACTATTTACCAAGTTATTTGATCTTTTTTCCTGCTGGTGCGTGTGTGTTTTTGGACCTCTTCAGATTAAGATTCTTGAAATAGAAAAAAAGCGTTCAGATGTGACTACTTGAATTTATCAAGTGGCAGATCCATATTCATGAATGGACAATCATTCTTTATAGACCCAGTGACGTACGGTACGAAAGATTAGGTCTTACCGAAAAGCTGAATAATGTTGGAAGTAAGGATCAAGGATCATTAACTAAATAAGCCATTATTCAAGGAAACCCAACAGAAGTAGTTAAAGTAGCAAATTAAAACGCAAACCAACGCCTAATATATCAACTCTCCTAACGCTAAACGACATGATTACCAAAGACCAACACATTATCACAAGATAATTGTAAAAATAAACGTTTCTTCAGAGATGCCGCTCTCGGTGATTATTGCCAAGCTAAACACGGTGTTCTTTTGGCGATGCCGGCTTTTTGTTTTCTCTTTTTACGGTTTGTTTGGCGATCGTTAAAATGTCCGGTAATCGTGCGGCGATGACTGGTTTGGTGGCACGGGCTCTGACAATAATCACAATCACTGTATATATTTGAGCCCTATACTTACATGCTTGTTTCATCAAAACTATGGCTCAAAATCACAATAAAATTGTTATTGATGAATGATGAAGACTTAGAGGAAAACATCTCAATAGAACAAATAAGGCTTTAACTCAGAAATAAGGAAAGTATAGGTGTGAACACAACAACAAAATTGCTCAATAAGTATCTACGAAACAAAACCCAAGAAAACTGGAGACTAATAGATACCATCTTCTCTTATTCTGTCTGGCCTTTAGTGAACTATGAGAGGCTTGTAACAATGTTCACCCTGTTTAAGACCAAATTTATAATCTCTAACGGAAAGGCAACAGAGTAAAACCCAATCACTAGCTTTTTAGTTCAACAACCGATTCCATCTGATTGAATGAATCAAGCCGCTTCAATTTGTCAGTAAAATGTTCAGATATTTGAACGATCAAACGAACTTACCTGTGATGTTCGATCGTAATTATATATAGCACCTCGTCCGAAGGTATTGATTGGTATTGATATGTTTTTGAGCGTCTTCCCTATTCCACCAGCCATGTGTGGTTTGATTATTTGCAAAAACCCCCCAGCCTGTTGTACTTGCATCAGTATAAATCTCCAGGTCAAAATGGTCATGTCTAATTGTATTTTCCATTGTATTAATATTTTTTAACCACCAAGAGATATCATCATTTATATTGTTAGATAAGTTCATTACTGCGTTATAATTTTGATTAGATTTTTGTAATGCCAAGAACTTTTCACGCTCTAATTGTTTTGTGTAAAGCTTTGCATATTTACTTGCAGGGCAAGCAGAAATTAGAAGGCCTACAAACTGTGCATATTCTCTAATCTTGCATGTTTTCTTCTTGATAAAAATATTTAAAAACTTCATTATTTTTTCACGCTTTTCTTTAGAGAGTTCTACCGTCATCTTTTTGGTATCAAATATAAAACCCAAAAATTGACACCTTTGCATTGGGATTAGGCAACTTTTTTCAAAATTTAATATAAAGCCAAGGGACGTGAGAAATTGAATTATGTATTCGAGGTCAATTTGACATTGAAGTCTTGACGAGTTCAATATAAGAAAGTCATCAATATATGATACAACAAGTATACCTTTTTCTCGAAAGTTTTTTAAAATTGGTTTTATCAATTTAGTAAAGATATATGGGGCTACTGACAGACCAAAGGGTAGGCATGTAAATTCAAACAATTCAGAATTTAGACGAAACCTCAAAAATTTTCTGTAGTTTTTGTGAATTGAAAGTAAAAAATATGCATCTTTAAGGTCAATTTTTACCATAAAGTAGTCCAAATTTAACAGTCTCATAACTGTACGGGAATCCTCCATTTTAAAATGAGGTGGGCTCAAAAAGGTGTTTAGCTTTTTAAGATTTAGGATAAAGCGCATAGAGCCATTTGGTTTTTTAGTGAGAAAGCATGGTGAGACAAACTGATAGTGAGATTCCTCACAGTGGGCTATAGCCCCTAATGCTAAAAGTTTCTCAATTTCTTTTTTGAAAATATTTACTTCACTTAAGGAGCATCTGGTCGTCGAATTTGAATTATTTATAGGCTTACTACAAAAGGGTAATTTATAGCCTTTAACCCAGTCTAAAACTTTAGACCTAGCTGGTAAAAACTGTTCCCACTTTTCAACAAAATGTCTCAATCGGCCTGCAATACAACCTACCTCTATTTCCTGAATTTTTGCTGGGGTTCCTGTTTTTTCTGGTAATACTGCTGGTGACGGGATCGAGGTTGGTAATTCGATCGGTGATTGCCCGTCCGGCGCTGGGTATAACCTGCACCCGACGGGCTTTTGAAGTTTAAATTAACTTTTTGTTTTTCGTTAACCTTTGAAGGCTCTTTTAATTTAAAAACTGACCTTTCAACTTCCTTTGCAGCTTTTATTTTTTCAGCTAAGTTTTGGCCGAATAATAGGTCATCGACTGGAGTTCCCTGAATAACCTCTTTGATAGAGGTATTTAGTGAGCTCGTTACTAATTGTCTTCTATTTAGAGACAAATTATGGTGAACATCAGTTAAGAGTTTTGCTCCATCGCTCAACCGAGAGATTAGCTGGTTTTTTGCATCCAGGCTATTACTGTCAGTCAAAAGACTTGAAAGGCCCTTACCTATGGCCGAAATGCCATGGCCCAGCATGGCTTGAGTTATCTCGAGGAATTTGTCCTTTTTAATTGTAATTGATGGGACTGCTTTCTTTATTTCAAGATTAATAGCTGGTGACATTAAGGTTGGAATATTATTTGGGATTGGGTATTTTTCCTTCAAGGCTTCCCGCTCCTCCTTACCAAGTCCACCACTTAGAATTTCCTCCCATCGCTTTTTTAACACAACATGAGCCTCATACCCATGTTTATTGACGTTTTTCTGCTCCCCCAAGGCTTTTAGAATGTCGTCGTCCAAATTAACGTCCTCTGTAAGAACTAACGCCTCTGGTGACCTGGGTGATCCTTGCAAATTCGCTAGGTCTATCAGGTTTTCCTGATCTTCTCCTGTTTCCCTTTCCAAGGGCACAGGAGGGCTACGAGGTGAGTGTCGAGGTCTTGATCTGGTCGTAGACTCAGATCGGCTACTTCGGCAAGTTGAACTGAGTCGAGCTGAAGTTGAACCCTCATAGCGATCGAGTCTCTTTTTGAGTAACTCGAGCTCTTTAACAACATAGGAATCTCTTCCTCGATTTCCATTGTAAGAATAAGAGGCATAAGAGCCCTGAGAGCGTCTAGACTTCGATTCTCTAGAACCTTCGGAAATCCGAGATCGAGATCGAGAAGGAGAAACAAAATGGCGGTTCTTATGAGGAGAATGCCCATGCCGAGACCGAGATCTGTTTCGAGAACAGCCCGGCGAGCGATCAGCTGGCGATCTTTTCCTTTTCCCCATCGGGCTAAGGAAGCTAAAAAACACAAAATAGATTATTTATAACGATGAAATTTACCTTAAACTAGCCAAAAAGGGATTTTGTAAATTTTTCGTGACGCCTTCGGCTGCACAAAAAAGCAAGATGACTCTACCGGTTAAACAGGGTCCTGTAGTCGGTAAGGGCAATGATTGACATTTTGAGTTCTTTGAAATTTGTGACTCCCTCTAGTACAAAAAGCAGTACTACATAGTAAGATAACGCAGTGATCTTGAGGACGAGGTGCGTAATATAATTGAATAAAACCCATGGTAGGTGTAGGTACCATTGTGTTAGGATAAGTATTCGTTTAGCCACGCCTGCTCTAGCAGTATCAATAGTCACAACCATATCTGTCAGATGTTAGTAACGTCAACAAAGTGAGGTTATCGATATAGCAATGTTGTTGTAATCTTCATGGTAGAATGTTTTGTCATTGATAAAATCTTTAGTTTATTTCTAATAGTAAAACTTTATTCTGGCTTTATTCCACAAAATAACTCTAACAGGTTATGGGCCCAGATATGCCAAAAGTCAGTGTGTAAATTAAAAGTTTTGTTTTGTGCTAACACTCAAAAGAAAATGGCCAGCAGTTCATCATCATTTGTGTCGATTGATAAATTGACTGGTCGGGACAATTATAGCGAGTGGAAGTTCACTATGAAGGTACTTTTAGAATTAGATGACTTGTGGAAAGTTGTCGAAGATACCGAAGTGGATGAGAAGAAAGACAAGAAAGCAAGTGCTTTCTCGTCTTTCTTCTAAAATAATCTTGTCTGTGGATAAGTTAAATTATTCCCATTTGAAGACTGCTGCAAAAGCTAAAGATGCTTGGCAAAACTTAGAAAAAGCTTTTGAAGATTCAGGACTAACAAGAAAGGTTGTTCTTTTAAGGGCTTTAGTAACTACCAAGTTAGAAGACTGTAGTTCAGTAGAAGAATATTGTGACACCATCATTTCAACATTACATAAGTTAAATGCAATGAATTTCAAAGTGGACGATGACTGGGTCGGCACTCTCTTGCCTGCAGGGTTGCCGGAAGAATACAGGCCAATGATAATGGGTCTTGAGAGTAGTGGAACACAGATTACAGGTGATTCAATTAAAGTGAAGTTGCTGCAAGATGTTAAATCAAGTTCTGATCCAAAATCAGCTGGCTCGAATGCAGCAATGTACTCAGAAAGAGGTTCAGGTAAAAAGTTCACAAGAAACTAAGTGAAGTGCTTCGGATGTGGCAAAATGGGTCACCATAAGTCTCAATGTAGAGCAGGCAACTCACAAGGTAATCAGGATGAAAGAAAGAAAAGTAACAACACAGCTTTTCTAGCATGTTTATCTTCACAGCAAGTAAACAGTGATGCATGGTTATTAGACTCTTGTGCCTCTGTCTATTTAATCAAAAATAATGACTGGTTAATAAATTCTACCAAAAACAGTGGCAAAATTAAGACTGCAAGTAATAGTGACATAAACATAAACAAGGGACAGTGGACATCAGTGTGAAAATAAATATGGTCAAGATAAGGTGGTTCCTGCAAATGAGGTTATGTATGCTCCTGAAGCAGCAGTAAATGGAGGTCTACCAATGTATTCTAGTGTAAGTGAACACTCAAGTGATTTATGGCACAGAAGACTTGACCACTTGAATAGAAAGGCAATGCAGTTGGTGGCAAGTATGTCTACTGGTTTGAACAAAATAAATATATCTTCAGAGCCGTGTATTTCCTGTGTCGAAGGCAAGCATAGTCGAAAGCCATTCCATGGCAGCATGAGAAAGTCAAGTAAGATTCTACAGCTGGTTCACAGCGACCTCTGTGGGCCAATGGAAGTAGCATCAATAGGCGGCTGTAAGTACATTTTCACTCTAATTGATGATTTTTCAAGATTTATATTTACATATTTTCTATCAGAAAAAAGTCAAGTAATTGATGTTTTTCAACAATTTAAGCAACTTGTTGAGAATCAGACTGACTCTAAAATAAAAATGCTCAGAGCTGACAATGGTACTGAATATGTGAATAAGAAATTCAAGAAGGTACTTGATGACTCTGGTATACACCAGACAACTGTTCGATACACTCCGCAACAAAATGGGGTTAGTGAGAGGGCGAATAGGGCAATTTGTGAGAGAGCTCGTAGTATGTTGTCCGATGCTGGTTTGTCGAAAGAATATTGGGGCGAAGCAGTTAACACTGCAGTCTATCTCATAAATAGATCACCAACAAAAGCAGTACTTGGGAAAACTCCCTATGAGGTCTGGAATAAGGAAAAACCCACTTTATCAGAGCTGAAAATTTTTGGTTGTGAAGCTATGGCACATGTGCCAGATGGGTTGAGGAAGAAATGGGATCCTAAATCACAGAAGTTGCTTTTTATGGGTTATGGAGAAAATAAAAAAGGATACAGACTGATCAATCCAAATACTAAGAAAAGTATTTTTAGTAGAGATGTTGTGTTTTTTGAAGGAAAAGAGATAGAGAAAAATACCAAAGAAAGAAATACAGAGATAAAAAAAGACAAAACAATTGTATGGCCAGTAGAAATTAAAGAGAATGAAGAACAAAATGAAGAAAATAGTTTTGATGAAAGTTCTCAGTTTGGTTCTGTTCAAAATGAAGACAGCAGTGACTTTGAAGATGTACAAATAGAAATTGAGGAGGAGATAGCTGATGCAGAGCCTATTTTAACATTAACTGGTAGAGAGGTACATAAACCTCAGTATCTTCAAAATTATGGGATATATGCTACATATTTGGATGTAACAGAATCACAGGAGGATCCTCAAACATTTTCAGAAGCTCAGAAAAGTTCTGAATGGCAAGATGCCATCAACCATGAATTGAAGTCTCTTAGCAATCTACAAACTTGGACTAAACTCCCTGAAAATAAATATGCAATTGATACAAAATGGGTCTTCCGAACAAAGGAAGATGGTACAAAGAAGGCTCGATTAGTAGCCAAGGGCTTCCAGATTCAGGAGGAGTATCGTATTTTCACTGTTTTGTTTGCTACTTTTACTTAATAAAGATATTTGACTTCAATTTTATTTCTTAAAATTATCGATGTGAGGGAGCGAAAATAAAAACATGTTGCTCGGTGCAAGCCAGACCAGAAAGAGGTTTATTAGATGAAGTATCTTTTGACAATGGTCATGCGCGATCTCGTGCGCAATATGTATTTAATAATGTTCATTTGATTTCAAGTTCAAATTCAAATATCACATCCTCCCTTTTTTGAAAATAGAATAATAGCACTACACAAAATATCAGTCTTTTCAAAATATCAGTCTTTTCACAATATCATTTAAAGTTGCTATCACAGATGTGTTCAATTACATAAAAGATGTTACAATTTCTGACTGGCACTCAGTTCTTTCTATATATACAAACTTAAGACCTAGCAGTCTCTAGATAAATACTTTAATTTTTTTTATTTTTTATAAATATACTAACACTTAACACTAAAGACACTAAGATTAAATTTATACACTAACAATTGAAACTTAACTTAAAAAAAAATACAAACTAATATCACAAGCTTAACCTAACTGGTGGTTTAACCAATCTCCCTGATCTTGTATTTCTCACTGGAGAATGTCTCGGCATCTCTCTTACAGGTGATTCCGGAGATGACAAGGAATTACTTGAAAGTGATTCACTCGAATTGCTGAATGAATGAAACCCATGAAAAGAAGAGGACATTGAGACACTCTCAGGAGTAGTATGTTGACTAGTACCTGGCATACTTAGATTCAACGTATCGTTCAAATTATCACTAGAAATACCATCATATTTAAATCTATCATAGCTTTCTGAATTATAGCTATTTTTATTAGACAAGTCTAAATTATTTTTTGGTAAATTATCTAAGTTTTCTCCTAATATTTCCCCTTTTTTTTTTTCAAATTGAAATTGAGATTTAATTATTTTTAAATGCTTTCTGTTTCTAGATACAATATTCCCTGTTTTTTCTAGTTTCACATTATATGATCTAGGACAATTATTTTTCCCTATTACTGTACCATTGAGCCATTTTTCTTTAGCTTTTAATTTAAAGTTTTGTACTTTAACCAATGTACCCGGCTTAATCTCATTTAATTCTTTACTGTGCTTATCATAATAATTTTTTTGTTTATTTTGCCTTTCAATTAATTTGTTTCGAACTGTGGGAATAGGCTGTATTTTGGGTTTTAGCAAATTATCCATGACAGGAATCGTGGTTTTTAGCCTTCTACCGAAAATTAATTGAGCAGGACTCGGTAAATTTGGTCCTATTGGAGTATTTCTCAAATCCAAAAGTGCTAAATGAAAATCAGAACGTGATTCAGCACATTTTTTCATGGTGTTTTTGACAGTTTGCACAAATCTTTCAATTTGACCATTGCTTTGTGGATTATGTGCGCTAGTTGTAATATGTTTAAATTGCCAAGTTTTAACGAAATTCTGAAATTCTGATGATCTAAAACATGTACCATTATCTGAAATTAAAGACTCTGGAATTCCATGAACTGAAAATAGTTTTTTGAGTGATTTTATGACACTCACACTTTTGTCATTTGGGAGTTTTTGTACATCCACAAATTTCGAAAAATAATCCACCGTAATCAAGAAACTTTCATTATTAAAATAAAAAATATCGGTAGCAACCTCTTTCCACGGTCCAGATGGTACTTTGTGAGGTAACATTGGTTCTTTTTGGTTAAACTTGCTATTAGACAGACAAATATCACAGGATTCGACTAGATTTTCAATATCTGAGTTAATTGTAGGCCAAAATATCAACTGTTTTGCATTTAATTTGGTTTTCGTAATACCTAAATGTCCCACATGCAACCTAGACAACATTTCTCTTCTAAGTGATTTTGGAATGAAAATTCTATTATTTTTAAAAATCAAGTTTTTTGAATAAGTAAGCTCGTCTTTGTGAGGCCAATAAATTTTATATTCTTCACCTAACTTTTTTTTATTACTAGGAAAACCTTCT